TTATTATTATTAATATTATTCATAATATTATAAAGAAAACATAAATAACATATAAATATAATACAGTATTTACAAAATTAATTATATAATAAAGTGTATCTAAAGCCAATCTGTTAAAACATTGTAAATAGTGTGGGGGAAAGGTTAACACAAGCCAGGGTTTTGTGTTTTGCTATCTGTGTCCCATTGGGGAGATTTCCGTTCACTTCCTGTCCTGTCCTGTGGAGACAACAGGAAGTGAGAGGAGATCTCTGCAAAGTGAAGGAAATCCCCTTTTGTTGTCACTGGAACAGGTGCCTCCCCCCTCCTCCCCCTGTGGAATCTTTCCCCTCTATTCTGTATCTAATGAAAGGTTTAAAATTCTGGATTTCCCATCAATTTCTATTTCAGTGACAATGGCCAACGGGACAAATAAAGGGGGTGACTCTCGCTGGTGGTGACGGAGACAGCAATAGAAACTGAGGATCTAACCTTTCCACACTATAGGAAAAGTTTTGTGTAGCGCAGGGAATGATTCGATCCCCTGTCATGTTTTACTGCTACCCAGGACTGCATTGGGGAGATTTTTCCTCACTTCCTGTCCTGCTGACAACATTTTAGCAGACAGGAAGTGTACTAGGAGAGAGAGCGGAAGTGACCGGTCTTTATTACAGGAAGGGGCGGAGACAAGACCAGTCACCCTGCGCAAGGAGAGAGCGGCAGTGACCGGTCTTTATTACAGGAGAGGGCGGAGACAAGACCAGTCACCCTGCGCAAGGAGAGAGCGGCAGTGACCGGTCTTTATTACAGGAGAGGGCGGAGACAAGACCAGTCACCCTGCGCAAGGAGAGAGCGGCAGTGACCGGTCTTTATTACAGGAGAGGGCGGAGACAAGACCAGTCACCCTGCGCAAGGAGAGAGCGGCAGTGACCGGTCTTTATTACAGGAGGGGGCGGAGACAAGGCCAGTCACCCTGCACAAGGAGAGAGCAGCAGTGACCGGTCTTTATTACAGGAGAGGGCGGAGACAAGACCAGTCACCCTGCACAAGGAGAGAGCGGCAGTGACCGGTCTTTATTACAGGAGGGAGGGGAAGACAGGACCAGTCACCCTGCACAAGGAAAGAGAACAGCAGTGAGCGGTCTTTATTACAGGAGGGGGCGGAGACAAGACCAGTCACCATGCACAAGGAGAGAGAGCGGCAGTGACCGGTCTTTATTACAGGAGGGGGGCGGAGACAACCCATACAGCTCTCTCAAACATGGCCGCCATCCCCTGTTTCCGTATCACAATGTGAAGCTGCTTCTTATGTCCTGATTTGTCTTTCTCCCCCCTGCAGGAAAAGGCGGAGAAAACCTTGACGGACGAAAATGCGTTCGAAGCGCTGGAGAAAGATTTCCAGGAGGTGCTCAGCGAGCTCACCGGCGACAAGAGCCTGGAAAAGTTTCGGGTGGAGTACGAAAAGCTGCACGCGGTCTTGAAAAAATCCTACGAAAACGAGAAGCGCCTGATGTCCAAATGTCGCGAGCTGAACTCCGAGATCGTGGCCAATTCGGCCAAAGTGTCCACGGCGCTCAAACTTTCCCAAGAGGACCAGACGACGATTGCGTCTTTAAAGAAGGTGCGTCGTGCTGGTCACATGTACTACCTCATTGTGGCCACTAGATGTCGCTGAGGAGCATCAGAACGAAGTATGTATTTGCTGTGCTTCTCAGCTCCATCCAGTGGCCATAATGAGGTATTACATTACATTACATTCACCCTGAAACAATTCTATACTAACAATGTTCATTTTTGCCTCACACAGAACGAACTTTGACAGATATCCACAGTGCGAATGGCTCTGGGAATTGTTTATAGAGATACCCCTTTGGGGTCTTTTTAAAAAGCAGCATATAGGTGTACCATTGTACCACTGCCATACCATTGCTTAGAAGAAAGACGAGAAAGCCACACATATATAAGGAACAGCTGCATGCTTTACAAGTGTGCGTTGCACTCCTGAAGCCAGTGACATGGCAATGAGATTTAATGGGAGAAGGGAAAAAAATCTGGGAGGGGAGTATAGTCACGAAAACTGCCAAAGTCACATGACTGGCTCTCCTCCAATCACAGAGCTCTCTCAGCTGTATTAAGCAGGGCGAACTGAGTGGAGCATCGCACACTGTGGCCTGCATTTTATGAATGGCCTGTGAAATGCAGGCAACAGATGTGCGCTCTCCTTTATAAATGACCCCCCCAGCACGCTGCTTGACCCATGCACATTTGGAAGTTGAAAACATTGGTGCAATCACACCACTCACATTACATTTTTATTGGATACAAAAACATCCTTGGCTCTTCGGTTTGATATTCTTTTTGGTCTAATGGAAAGTGCTGATTGCATGCATTAGATCAGGGGTAGCCAAACTCCGGCCCGCCAGCTGTGGTGAAACTACAAATCCCATGATGCATCTCTCCCCGGGAGTCATGTCTGTGGCTGTGAGAATCTTGCAATGCCTCATGGGATTTGTAGTGCCACCACAGCTGGAGGGCCAGAGTTTGGCTACCCCTGCATCATGGGATTTGTAGTTCCACCTTTAACCCTGCCGATTTGATCACTGCAGTGAGAGACTCTGTGGCGGCGGACAGAAGGCGGAGCCTGCGAGGGGAGAGGTAAGGGCGGGGGGGGAGGCTGCAGACTTTTTACATGTGATATCGGCGACATCGCCGAGATCACATGTAAACAAACAATCGGCTGCCTCACTCTACATTTATTCCTGCTTGTGCAAAGCAGGACTAAATGTAGAGAGGGCAACTTACCACCCGGCGCCCACAACTTCCCCACAAGGACACCACTGCTGCCCCTCTGCGTCCTGCCCCCCCGAGGCCGGGCCTCAGTGGCCTTGTGGGGAATCCGGGCCTGGCTGCGCAGTGACATCAGCGGAAGAGGGGAGGAGCCGGTACAACTGTGCAAGACTGGAGGGAAGGCCGGAGTTCAGCTTTAAGCATTGGACAGGTTCACTCCATCTACGTAGCTGGAAATTTCCTTTTAGTGAGGAACTTTGTGAAACATTTCATCACATTTTATTTCGTCTTTTCTGTTATTTTGTTTTTCGACCCCAGGAAATAGAGAAGGCGTGGAAGATGGTGGACGCAGCCTATGAGAAGGAGCAAAGAGCCAAAGATACCATCGGCTCCTTGAAAGGCGAGATCAACAATCTGTCCAAGCTGGTGGAGCAAGGATCCGGGCTATCCACGGGGCAGGAGCACAGGTGAGAGGCCCGAAAATATGAATGTAGAGTGTTGGGGAACCCCGTGATCTATGTCTCAGCTTTAAAGGAGAACTATGAGGTGAGTGCTTTTCACTCACCTCATAGTTCTAGCCGACCTGTGACAATGAGACTGTCACAGGTCGGCCCAGTAGATCGGGAGGTGAGGGAACACATACCGGCGTTTGCTCACCTCTCAATCCTGTCACGGCTCTCTGCCGTGACAGGGGAGGGGCTGAATTCCCCTCTCCCCGCTCCGATCTGCCAGCGCTGGCTGGCGGAACGGACGGGGGAGGGGCGGGTACAGCTGGCTCTGCCTCCAGATAGGCAGAGCCAGCTGTCAGTCACGCAGCCGGGCGGATCACGGCACAATTGTCAGGATCCGCTCCGGCTGTGGCGTCTCAGTATATAGAGAGCTGTAGCTTGCGGTATACTGAGCCTAGGGTGACGGGAGGACGCTAGTTTGTGTCCTCCCGTTACCCTAAGGAGAACTATGGGGAAAAGACTTAACCCCATAGTTCTCCTTTAAAGGGAAACTGTCGCCTTATGAATATGTTTTAGCTTTCCATTTATATAAGCAATCTGCCTTCAGAGGCTCTACACACTCTCTGGTGATATCCATGGGCAGAATCTATTTCTGGCCCCACTGGGCCTTCCACCCTATTAGTGCTGGAGGCCCTCACTACTATCTCTGGGTTAGATTTAGGGGTCTATTCACAAAGCTAGCCTTTGTCCCTTGGGACCGCCAATGGAAAGGTCGTGTTATCCTTCTGACTGTGCTGTCTGGAAGAAGTGTATAGAAACAAAATTGGAAACAATGTGATTTTGACCAACTGAAAGGAGTGATCCTGTTTGATGGCTAATAACCACCTAATAGTAACACAGAAGTTGCGAAGCTTGTAAAAAAAAAAATCAAAAATATCTAAAACCATTCTCACCATCTGTGGGCAGAATCTGAAAACTCAGCGGCTTTATTATGGCTCCGCAGGAACACCGACCTTCTGCATGAATGATAAGTATTCCTTATATCACTCCACAGTTTAAATGAATTACTGACTGTCAAGGAGGAGCTGACCCAAGAGAGAGACCAACTGCTATCCGAAGTAGTAAAGCTGCGCGAAAGTCTAATGCAAGCAACCACTAAGCAGCAGGAGGCGGAGAAACTCAAAGAGGAGGCGGAGCAGACCATTTCTCAGGTGAGACCACACCCCCGGACATCCATGTTTTTATTTATAGGAAAGATGTAAAGGGAAAGCCGTTGGTGTTGCAGAATCAGGTCAGGGGCTTTATGGATTGGACGCACTGGCGGAACTACCGGGGTCGCAGAGGTCGCGGTTGCGACCGGGCCCTGGCGTTCCGCCACTTGGGGGGGCTCAGCGAGGAAGAAGAGGGCCCCCCTCCCCCGAGATAGTTCCAGGCCTTCCCTGCCGCACAGCCACACGCAGCATGTACGGGCGGCTGTGCGGCAGGGATGGAGAGGCTGTCACCAGTCCCGCAGAATGTGCTGCAGGCACCGCCGGGCAGCACATTCTGCTGTGTGAGGACCCTCTCATCCTAGCCCCGCCCCCTGGCTGCCGAGACGAGGAAGAGGGCCCTAGTATGCGGGACTACAAGTCCCAGCAATGTATTATATTTTTAAGTAGGGATACACCAGTCTCAATACTGGGCATTTTCACAAGTACTCATACTCAGGAAAATGCCCCGATACTAAACGCAGATACCGGTGTTCTGTCGAGAACGCTGACATAGTCGAATTTGCCGACCTCAGCATCTGCGCTTGCGCACAGACCAATATTATCGAGGAAACCGGGATTTATTTACAAAGCATTTAGTCTAAATCATTAATTGTGACCGTTTATAATATTCCATCATTCACTGCCATGGATGGTATATTATTACCGGTCACAAGTAACCATTACAAACGAATACTTTGTAAATAAATGCCGGTTTCCTCGTTAATCCCGTCTGTACATAAGCGCAGATACTAGGTCAGCGTTCTCGACAGAACACCGGCACTAAAATTTTAAACAAGAGGCTGCCTGAGGTTCCACGCTTGCTGGGGATCTCGGCAGCCTTCCTGTTAACCATGCGGTGCTATGGCGGTTAGGGGGGGGCCCTTCATGGTTTCTTGCACCGGGGCCCTGAAGGTTCTAGTTACGCCTCTGATTGGACGGGTGAGTGACTATAACTCTTTCTTCACTTCTTGATTGCAGCATCAGCAGGAGATTCAGGTGCGTCAGAACGAGGCGTCTCGGGAAGCTCGCAAAAAGGAGAAGCTGGAGAAGGACCTGAGGAGTATGCAGACCGAGCTGGACAATAAGCACTCGGAGATTAGATCCTTACAGCAAATGTTACAGAAGAACAAAGAGGAACTTCAGAAACTGGAACAGCAGCTTAAAGAAACAAAGGTGAATGTTCCTGACCCTTCTATGGCTGATTGTTCTCATTATTGAGGTATATAGCGCTAACATAGATGGAAGTATTGTACAAAGAAAACTTGCCTACAGGCCTATAGACCTCTGGCTATGCGATAAGCTTAATCTGCTTATATTTTGCAGGCTCCTCCCTCATTCACATGTCAAGAAAACCTTTCCATTTTTATGACAAACCTTGTTTTAGACCTAGTGACATCATCAGGGGTCCTTTGTGCTTCGCTATGCAATGCAGTCATATCAGGGGTGTAACTAGAAATCACAGGGCCCCATAGCAAACTTTTGTATGGGGCCCCATGATTGCTAGTTATGCCACTTGCAGAGCCCACCTGATATACCAAACAGCCCATCTGAGAGTGACCCTGCAGAGCCCACCATAGATTCTCTATAGTGAGTTCTGCAGGGTCTCAGGTGGGCTGCACACCTCTTAGCTGTCAGCGATGTCCGCCTCCGTGGTCGCCGGGCCCCGCCTCCTCTTCCGGGCCCCGCCTCCTATTACATCATTGGGCCCTGTCTGTTCTTTTATCGATGGGCCCCACCTCCTCTTACATCACTAGCCCCTCCTGCTCTTAGGTCGCCGGGCCGGGCCCCGCCTCCTCCTTCACTGCAAGCGCCGCGTCCAGCCTCTTCTGCAGCAGCTGCTGGCTGTCACTGACACAGCTCAGCAGCAGCTGTGAGGTTGTCAGTGATCTAACAGCGGTGCCTCTTCATAGCCGCCAGTGACAGCCAGCACCCTGATATGCCATAGCAACCCAGGCGGCCCGCACAGCATCAGAGGGATGCCCTGGCTGTGCCTTCCAGTGCCCGGGCCCCATTGCGGCCGCCTGGGTCGCTATGGCGATTGTTACGCCACTGAGTCATATCATGATTGGTGGGAGGGGCCGGCAGGGTGCTGTACATAGCTTCCTGAAAACATCACAGCGCCCTGCCTCAGCCCTGATGCAAGCAGTGGGCTGGCTCTTGGTAGGAGTTATGCAAATATAAAAATGCCTTGATGGGTGGCTGTCAGTCTGGAGGAGTGGGCGTTCCTAGGGAGGTTGTATTTGGATGTAGACCATCCTAGGTAACGCCCACATGTGATGCTGAGCCTCCATTATTGTATGAACTAAAATCGAATAATTGGAAGGGCGGGCCAGTCAGACCGGGGAGGAAAGATCAGGGGTGGGCAACTCCGGCCCTCCAGCTGTTGCACTACTACAAGTCCCATGAGGCATTGCAAGACTCTGACAAACACAGGCATGTGTCCCTAGGTAATAATAGGCCAACCTAGGTAATGTCCACATGGGATGCTGGGCTTCCATAATTGAAAGAACTTAAATCCAATGAATGAAAGGGGGCAGGGCCAGGGACAGTCAGACTGGGGAGGAAAGCGTTAGATGCTGGATGTCCACAGACAGGAAATAAGGTGGGCCCTTTATGACTTGCTGCAGCTTCTAATGCACATTGTGAGAAGCTCTGTGAAATCAAAGATAGAAATTCCAGGCCAGGAGAGGAGCCGGAATAAGAACGAAGGGAAGGACGAAGGTTAGATATGACTGAAGGGAAGGCCGGAGTTCAGCTCAGCTTGGCTGAGCATGGGCATTGGTCCCTATAGAGACAGTGGGAGGGCGGCATGAGCAGGCAACTGGCTACACTTCTCTTGATGGGGAAGGACAGAAAGTGGAACAGATTTCCTAACCCGAAAAAGGAGATGATTGTCTGACCTGGTAGATATAACTCAGTCGTCCAGCCTGGCTGGAAACCGCCATTTTGGGTGGCTATCATCCAACATTTGTGAGTTCTGTGGCCCCCAGATCCCAAATACTTGTTCTCCTTCTATGAGAACTTAGGGTTCTTTTTCTTGAAGTGTGATGACTTTAGTGAGATGGCTCTCAAACTAAAAGCTCTCTAGGTGGTTGGTTTAGGCCAGATAAGCAAAATATAGAACTAAGAGAGAGAGCACCAGACTGATTACATGCAAGTAAGAAAGTCCACTTACTGCAAAAAACTCAGTTACAATCCAGCACGTTTCGGGGAACCCCATCATCAGGGCTTCAAACTTTTATGAGATAGAAGTTCAAGAACTGTAAAGAACTCTGATTTGGGGGAGCTTTAACACATATTGGGCTCCCCCTAATAGCTGATTTGGTATCTTCAGCCAGCTGCTAGAGCGATTTCCCTGATGAGTGGGGGGACCTATAACACCCGAAACGTGTTGGCTTCACAATTGCTCTGACCTCACAGTTCATTTTAGAATGTAAGCTGCTTCTGCCATGGCTGTATCCATCATGCTTTGTTGTCATTTTTGGCTCTTACACATAGCTCTGTGCATCATGTTGAGACTTTATCACTATGAATAATAATAATGATAATGTATTAACCCAGGGCTCAAAATTTCCACTCGCCCCCTCGCAATTGGCGAGTGAAAATTGCGTGAGGGCGAGTGGAAATTCATCTGGGGAGGGGGAGCCTCTGGCAGGACCAGCGGGGGTGAAACTACCGCCGCTCCTGCAGCGGCGATCGAGCGCTTCACTTGTCTTCTGTGGCCAGAGTGAAGGGAAGACAGCTGCACGGATTTTTCTTCTCCTCGGCCGCTGCAGCTACAGGTCGTCGGTCTTCCCTTCACTTCCGCCACCTGCAGCTTCCTCCGCCCACCTCATCTGCCATAGCCTGGAGGAAGACTGCAGCTGCTATTGGCTGGCTGGACGTTTTTTCAGCCTGGGACCTGAAGAATACATCTCTGTACCCCCCCCCTCCCCCCCAGCACCTCTGTACTGCGCGTTAAATGACTGACCTCTGTATTGTGCGTTAAATGACTGACCTCTGTACTGTGCGTTTAATGACTGACCTCCGTACTGCGCGTTAAATGACTGACCTCTGTACTGCTGACTTCTGTACTTTGCGCCACACCAGGGGATAGGTGGGGCAACTGGTGGCGAGTAACTCTTAAGGCCTGGCTAGTAGCTCAGGGCCTGAAATTTTGAGCCCCGTATTAACCCTTATGTAAAATTATGGCTATATATATATACTACATTCTCTTATGACAGGTTCACTTTAAAGCAACCCAGCTGGAAAAAGTGATAGTACACACTTGCCTCTCCCACTGCCCATGCCTCTCAAAGCCGCCTGGTTGACAAGGAATCGCCCTTCGAAGTCTGCTGGGAAACAAACACTTCCGGGGAGTGTCGATCAACTGTTTCCCCCGCAGCGCACAGTGGTTGCTTCCACCGGCCTCCATGTCACTACCATTTCCTATAGGGACTTGTAGGTCATCAGGAGGAACCACTGAGTGCTGCAGGGGTCACAGGGGATCATCAAAATGTCCAGCAGAATTTGGAGGACGATTCCTTATCACCAGAGCAGCGTTCAGCGGTGCAGGCAGGGAGAGAGAAGTAAGTATTTTGCTGTCTTCTGTCAGTTTCAGTTCCTCGACAAAGTCGCTTTAGCTCTTTCAAACTTCGAGATAGGAAGCAGATCTCTCCTAGCGATGAAATGTTAGAGAACAAATGTTAGCCATTAGCGTTCTAATTATTACAAGCACGCTACTAAAGATCACTAATTACAACCAGATCTGCAAACTGCGAACAGAACGCCGGTCAGATGTGCAGCTCGCCCTACAGCTGGCGGAGCACTTTACGGCTTTTACGCTCGTTTACAATGATTACTGTGACACGCCGGCTCCACTTTGGCGAATGTACATGAAATATTTATCTGCCAGCTGCTCCGAATCTCGGTTCTGTTTTCTAAAAGGCGCAGGAGGAACGATCTTTCATCTGGCGAACGCCGCGCTGTTGGAGAGCTATTGTGACACAAAGGGCGCTGTGGTTTTTTTTTTTTAGACTGTTTATGACTTTCTTAGCAGGTTTACAATTTCCCAAAAGCTCGCTCCATCACATCATGTCTGGCATGAGCAAATACTACATTTACTGATGGAATTTAAGTCCAACGAAACTTTTTATTTTACCACTTGCCGACCGCACTTTGAATGACATTTATTCCGTCATGCAACGCTGTACTGAAATGAATTTTATACTATACTATAGGGCTCAAAATTTCAGGTCCTGAACGAAATCGCAGAGAACGACCACACCCAAAATTGGCCATAGGCAATGCTTTAAAATCTCTTACCGCTCATCAGTTTAGTGTTATCAGTGATTGATGGCCCTAGAATTATTGTTCTCACTGCGACGTTCGCGACGATATGTAACCTGTGCAGCACAATAGGCGGAATCGTTGTTTTCGCACGTTGGCGCACCCGGCGCATGTTTGTAAGAGTGGGGGGATGTAGGACTTTAAAAAAAATTTGTGTCTTACATAATTTTTTTCGTGACCTTTTTTTTGTGGCTTCTTTATTTTTCTTTTTATGCTTTAATTTTTATTAAATTTTTTTTTATACTTAACTTTATTGCTATCACATAGAGGACTAAAAAATCCCCTATGTGATAGCCAATTCACATGACAGGTCCTCTTTATGGAGACATTAGGGCTCTCTAAGACCCCTAATGTCACCTAGGGACCCCCAGAGAAGCTTCACTAGCTTCTCACCGGTGTTCTGTACCAGAGAGTGACAATGAATGCAGGAAGTGATGTAATATACATCACTTCCTGCATTCAGGGACAAGAGATCAAAAGGAAGATCGTGTACTGATCTCACTTTGATCTCCACTGACAGCATCGCTATGCCGGTCCCAGCCGCACCAGGCACATCGGTTCACGAACGTCCATGGACGGGAGATGGTTAAATCAGCAAAACACATTAATTTATCAAAACTGGAGCAGACAAAATCCAGAGCAGTTGACCTTGGCAACCAATCAGCTTCTCTCTTCTGATATCATGGATGTCTGTTATACTGAAAATGTCTTACTGGAAAGGGACGAGGCAAGGGGGTAGGGCATAAACCCAAAATTGACCAAGTCCTTACTAACAAAGTAAAACTATTATCCACTGAAGACCTCCAGCGCTGGACTGAAGTTGTTAACAGTGTATGGGGAGGGTGAACCAATAGGTGAATAAAAGATGGAGTTCTACTTTACCTTGAAACATTTGTATTGAGGAACAATCATAACGATTATTATTATACAGGATTTATAGAGCCCCATCGGTTTGCTCAGACATTACAATCACAATACAATTCAAGACAAGATGGTAAGGAGGGCCCTGCCCCCGAGGGCTTACAATCTAAAAGGGAGGGGCAAGTGATAACGACGCATATACCGTATTTTTCGCTCCACAAGACGCACTTTTTTCCCCCCAAAAGGAGGGGGGAAATGTGCCTGCGTCCTATGGAGCGAATCCCAACGCCCGAGACATGCAGTTTCGGGCGCCGGGCGAGTGGTAGGAGCCACTGCTCGTTTAATACGAGTGACCTAATGAGATCACTCGTATTAAAGCCGAGCAGCGGCGGCGGCGATCGAGTTCAGCAGTAGGAGCCACTGCTCGTTTACTACGAGTGATCTAATGAGATCACTCGTATTAAAACCGAGCAACGGCGACGATCGAGATCACCATAGAGCAGACGAAGAACGGACTTTCTTCGTCTGCTCTGTGTGATCACTGAGACCGTGACGCTGTAATCACAGCGCCACCTGTCTCAGCGGTCACTAACTGCAGCTTCTGTCACAGCTTCTGTCATAGAAGCTGTGACAGAAGCTACAGTCTGTCGAGTGCTCCATAAGGCGCGCCGGACCTCCCTGCGTCCTATGGTCCAGTGCGTCTTATGGACCGCAAAATACGGTAATCTAAAATATACAGCAGGTTAAATGCCCGGAGTCCTGTTTCATGTGATATACCGGAAAGTTACAGTCAAATAGAGAGTCCCACTGTACTCCTGACCGAGAAGCCCCATACAGTATATTGTGGGTGGGTGCTGAAGTGGCCGCGGATGGCGCCGCCGAATACTTGCAAAACAGAACAATTTGGTCACCAGCACTCCCAGGTTTTCTCCAAAACTAATTCATTCATTCTAGCAGGTCATATCACCATGCGTCGCAACATTTTTGGAACCTGTCCAGCCCCTTCATCAGGCAAACAGAAGTAATGATCACTGTGAATCACTTTTGTTTGCCTGATGAAGGGACTGGACAGGTTCCGAAACGTCGCCACGCATGGTGAACATTTATTCTGTTATACCAGGAAAGTTAAAATGCTTCATTGTACCAAAGAAAAGTTCAAAAACAACAACAACAGACTCTCTTCCACCATAAACCATAACCTGGTTTGAGTAGGTAAAACACACCTACTCCGCCTACTCATTTTGCATTCATTTCTCTTTCAGATCCTGCACGAGAGAGTCAACAAAGAAGTGGAGCATTTTCAGGTCAGAAACACCAAACTCCAGCAGGACAATGAGCAAAACGGCATCTCCAATGAGCAGCTGATTCAGGAGAACCAACAGAAGCAGCTGGAATTAAAGGTAAGAACCTCACGAGTGACGATGTGTCTTCCTGTACTCCTCCATGTTCCTTTTAATATGGCAGCCATGGACCAAATGTGCCCAACTGTTAAAAGCTTAGGTCATGCAAAATTGGCGTTCCAGCTTGGTGTGGAGACTGATGGACAGGATCTCCTTTTGGCTTCATGGTAAATGTTAAAGAACTTAAAGGAGAACTATGGGGTTAAGGCTTTTCCCCATAGTTCTCCTTAGGGTGATGGGAGGACACAAACTAGCGTCCTCCTGTCACCCTAAGCTCAGTATACCGTGAGCTGTGGCTCACGGTATACTGAGAAGCCGCAGCTGAAGCGGATCCTGACAATTGTGCCGGGATCCGCCCAGCTGCGTGACTGACAGCTGGCTCTGCCAGCGCTGGAGTATCGGAGCGGGGAGAGGGGAATCCAGCCCCTCCCCTGTCACAGCAGAGAGCCGTGACAGGATCGAGAGGTGAGCGAACCCGGTATGTGTTCGCTCACCTCCCGATCTACTGAGCCGACCTGTGACAGTCTCATTGTCACACGTCGGCTAGAACTATGAGGTGAGTGAAAAGCACTCCCCTCATAGTTCTCCTTTAAGCAAGCAAGAACACATTAACGGCAGCTAGCCAGAAAAGGGGCCTTATTATTATTTTTAAAGTTGTCATACGGAGGTCTGATGTGTCAAAAAACAAACATATACTATACGGAGAAAAATATATAGACACCCCCCCATGTAGGAACTCATGTAGCCGGTACAGACCTTAACCTGACCGAACACCTTTGGGATGAATTGGAACCCTAATTGAAAGACAGGTCTTCTCATCCAACATCAGTCCCTGACCTCACAAATGCTCTTTTGGCACAAATGCCCACAGATACATCTTGTGGAGATTCTTCCCAGAAGAGTGCAGGCTGTTCTAGCTGCTCCAATGCCCATGGTTTTGGAATGAGATGTCTTACAAGCTCTTATAGGTTTTGATGGTCAGGTGTTCACAAACCTTTGACCATATGGTATATATTGCACCACTACCACATATTCCTGCCTTGCGTCCTAGAAATTGATTCAGCTGCTTATCATTTTTTTTCTTTTTGGCAAGCTCAACCTGTGAACATTTTATGCTTTAGAGGCTTAGTCAAGACAAGATGGTAAGGACAAGATGCATTTACAAAAAGTGTAAATGCAGCAACATTGAACTAGTGTATTTACTAAGTTTTGCAAAAAAAGTCTGCAGAATATTGCATCGTGGGTGCAGTGCACAGGCTCTTGCTAAGGATGGACTACAGATTAGTATGACATGCTGAAGATGTAGGAGGGATCCCTGTCACGCTCTGCATGGTTCCTCGGCTTAATTGGCAGATGACACATGGGATTATCCCAGCCCTTGAGGACACAAGATCACACCTGCATGAAAATGCACTTGGGAGCAGCTTGGGTTCTGGGTATGGTACATGCCACCATGCTTCGTGTACCACCCTAAATATGGGTGTATCATGAAACATGATCTGAAGCGGGGAGTTAGCCTTTAGGTCCTCATCATGACAACTTCATTGACAAGCAAGAGAGTATATCCCATCTACTGCAGCTTTTGTTTTGTCAAATAGATGTAAGTGGGAAGAGTTGAGAATTCAGGCCTAGATATCCCAGAAACATAAGAAGCCATGAGGAGCACCTAATGACTCCCATTGACTTTTTTTGGATTATTTACTGGCAGCTCTGGGAACCTTTCTAGAAGGTATCTGGCGAGGGTAAGTGGGTTCACCATGATGTTGTTTTTTTTTTTTTAAATGTATAAACTGCTGATAACAATTTTTATATCGCATCTCCATCTTGTTGATCAGTCTAGAGAAGAAGAGGTCGGTCAGATGAAACACGAGATTTCCAAACTTTCCAGAGCCAGAGAGGCCATGCAAAGGAAGTACAGACAAATGGAGGAACAGAAGACTGAGGTGGAGCAGGAGAGAGAGACACTGAAAAATCAGATTACTGGACTTGAGAGAGGTATAGTTCCTCCATTTTTATATAGCGCTTGACTGATCTGAGCAAGTAGATGGCAGTATGTAACCGGTTATGGCAAATGCATGCAAGACGCTCTAAAGCCCTTCTTTTATTAGTTCCAGCCAAAACTTTTTATTTTTCCTCTAGTGCAGATGTTCTCAACCTGTGGGTCGGGACCCCTTCGGGGGTCGAATGACAATTTGCCAGGGGTCGCCGGGAGTCTCCCGCTATTAGATAGCAGCTCCTGGCCGTCCAGGAGAGAAACACTTTCTCCCGGAAAGGTTTACTCTGCTTGATCGAGCATAGTAAACCTTTCGCTGCGATCGTTTTTTATTTCTGACATCGGAGCCCCGGCCGCCGTAAGTCAGAAAAAAATAAATAAATCAGCATAGGAATGCATAGCTAGATTCCTATTGGCTATTTCACTTTGCAATAGCAAACTAGCACCCGCCCACTGCTGCTGTCAATCAGCAGAGGGGGACCTGCAGTTCTCCATCAGGTCCCCATCTAGTGATTATCATCATTATTATTAATAATAAAAGCTGACACCCTCGGCTTGTGTTATATGGTTTGCCATTTTAGCTGTTACAACAGTGGTTCTCAACCTGTGGGTCGCTGTGTGATTTCTGCTGTGATTTCCTCAGCCCTCTCCTAGCGCAGCAGTGTCAGTTCTCCCACCACGCCGCCAGATGTCGCTGCAGCAGCCGCGTCAACCCTAAATTTTACCGTTGGGGGTCACCACAACTTGGCAAATGTTACCAAGGGGTCCCGGCCCTAGAAAGGTTGAGAACCACTGCTCTAGTGTCTATTGAGGGACACAGTTTGACAATAAGCAACCTAGGGTTACACTGCCACCTACAGGAGAAATGGACACAAGGCACATAGAAAACTGAAAGCCAGTCCCCTTCGAGGTTACAACCCCTCCCACCTGGTTAGTTTTTTCTTATTGTCTTTAGGAGAACAGATGTATTTTTGCTTTTTGCTTTATTTCTATTTACATGAATTAGAAGCCACCAGCTGTCTTTTTTTTGGGGGCCTAAGATGAGCCCCTGCTTGAATTTTTGCACCCATTCTCCTTGGAGGTTGACCTGGTTCTGAGCTTGGGCACAGGGCCCTCTACTTGTTTTTCTAACAAAAAAAAAAACCTGAAGTTTTAACCTTTCTATGTTTTATCCAAAATTAGAAAAATATGTTTTGGCTTTACATACACTTTAATCATGTAGCAATACGTAACATCATGTGATGGTGCGTATGTTGTATGTATACTATCTCTATGGCTGGATCGAGTGTGAGGGTTATTAATGGATTTGAAACTTGTTTAGTCAGCTCTCCTCTCCTCCCTAGCTTGTATAATATGTCTTTGTTTCTCCAGGGCTGGAGTCTGCAAAAAAACAAGCTGAGCTAGATAAGAAGGCAGTGGACGAGCTGGTGAGAGAAAGGGACATGCTGAACAAGGTGAGCAACTGGTAACCATGGAGACGCCAAGCCCGCCCCCACTCCAAAAGCCATCATTTAGAAAGCTTGTTGTTTCGCCATTTTTACTTTGTTATTGTCAGTCTCACCTGTTTTAGAGCTGCTCCTGGCAGATTCTGGGAAAATGATAATGGAAGGTGTCAGGGGCGCCCTGAGGCCAGGTGTTACCCCGCCGTGACATCATTGAGCATGAGCGTGACATCACCACATGTGTGTGCGATGGCGTCTTGTTACATTGTCGCCCTGATGAAGGGATCCTGTGCGATCCCGAAACGTCGCTATTTTGTACATGACAATTGACGATTGGTCCGATTAAATGGACATTAAAGATATTTACCGAGTGCTGGTGATTTCTGCTTTCCACTGTTTGTTGCACGGTGCCATCCGTGATTGTCACTGCGAGCACCACTACAAGTACTTGGGCCGGGAGCGCTGTGAGGAGTGCAGAGGGATTTACTATTGTCTGCGATGACGTCATCACGCATGGGCAGCCAACTTGGTGATACCTGCCGGAAGCCATCTTGTTGATGGACACCGGGAGAGAGAGGAGGGGACATACACGCGGCTGGATAAGGTATGCCGCCGGGTCCCCTCCTCTCTCCTGCAACTGCCAGGCTCTCAGTCCATGACTAGGGTTGCCACCTGTCCAAGATTCACCCGGACAGTCCAGGTTTTAGATGCTGTGTCCGGGTTTCATGGCAGCAGAAACCCGGACACAAGATTTCAGGCAGACAGGGGCAACCAAAATTAGGATAGGGGCTACTGGCCTCCCACTGACAATAGTCTCGACTGTGATATTTACATATGAATGGGTGGCCCTATTTACATATGACTAGGCCATGGCTCATTCTCCCAAAAAATGTTCGTGTGTCGCTAGAGTGTTCGGGTTTTGCATGAAGAAAAGGTGGCAACCCTATCCATGACGAGTGCCCAACTTTTCAGAGGGGGTGACACCAAAATGACTGTTAGCTTTGTATTATGCATCCAGCTACATGGATGGTCGGAAATGCAACCCCCCTTCCCCGAATGCATCTGGAGATTTAAAGAGACTCTTGGCTTCAGATTCTCTTTAAAGCCTTTCTCCCACAATCCACTTATACTCACGTTCCTCACCACTCCTTCATCTGCTGCTGTCATTCCAAATGATGCCGGAGCTTGCATGGGGCGACAAAGTCACCCCCTCCGTCATGTGACAGTGTTTTGGCCTGGTAATTGGCCACTAGACCCCAACCCTGCATCATAAATGGATGTGAGATGCACCCCCTTCTCCGGGAGTATTGGGTATTTCTCTCCCGTTCATTGAAGGACACAGGGCAAGAGATCGTAGATCGTGAATCAATTCAGGATCTCCGATCTCTTGCCCTGTGTCCTTCAATGAACGGAGAGAAAAGGATTTTACGGTGAGTACAAAAATCCTATTTTTGCAGCGGCTGTGGCAGAGGAGTGCTGGGAAGGTGACTATAACTGGGCTTTAAAGGAGAACTATGAGGTGAGTGCTTTTCACTCACCTCATAGTTCTAGCTGACCTGTGACTGAACAGGTCGGCTCAGTAGATCGGGAGGTGAGCGAACACATGCCGGTGTTCGCTCACCTCTCGATCCTGTCACGGCTCTCTGCCGTGACAGGGGATGGGCTGGATTCCCCCCTCCCCGCTCCGATCCACCAGCACTGACTGCCGGAACGGACGGGGGAGGGGGCGGGTACAGCTGGCTCTGCCTCTAGATAGGCAGAGCCAGCTGTCAGGATCCGCTTCAGCTGCGGCATCTCAGTATACCGCAAGCTACAGCTCGCAGTATACTGAGCCTAGCGTGATGGGAGGACGCTAGTTTGTGTCCTCCCGTTACCCTAAGGAGAACTATGGGGAGAAGCCTTAACCCCCATAGTTCTCCTTTTAAGGTGACCCTGTTTATCCTGAATGGGCAAAAGTGACAGACTCTTCCAGCTTTGACCAGAGTGTATCTAACCCTCACAAGTGGACTTTACACTTCCCCCTCTGCATCTGAACAGGTCTGAACCATGTATTCTGTGATAAGAATTCATATATATATATATATTTTGGGATGTCCTTCTACAAGGGCTAATAACAGTGAACTGTCTGACTGTAATGCAGAATAATGACCATTCATTTCTTGTATGTAGAACCTCCTGAAAGCGGCTGGCGCCACCCAGAAGCAACTCAACTTAGTGAAACTCCACGAGCAGTCCAAAAAGAACCTGGAGGAGGAAATAACTAATTACAAAGATGAGGCCCAGAAACAGCGAAAGATTATCTACCAACTGGAGAAGGAGAGGGACCGCTACATCAATGAGGCCAGCGATCTGACACAGAAGGTAAGCCCTCCACTTTCTGAAGACCCAAGACAGACTTGGAGCCAATTCCATTCTCACCCAGACAGTCAATTGATATAAAACCATACATTTGTAAGTGCTGGACATAATATATAAATTAAAGTTGATATAAACCCAAATCACTAAAATGTAATATAATGTTTACCATTTTAATGTCATTTCAAGTCATTTTCAGTCTTTTTAATTCTATAGCTTTCATTAAATTATTACGTGAAAATCTTGCCATGAAGGTCTTTGTTTCGGCACTTCCTGGTATGGGTTGACAACACTCCCTCCTATGTTGTCACTCTGTCACATGCTTTCCTTTTAGAGACTACAAATGGCCATGTTGTTGCATTGTGCAGGTAAGGTCCTTGGTTTACACCATCAGAAGGCGATCCAGAGCAATGATGTGCAGTCGACGATGGAGTGAGTTCATGTAGACAGGAAATGACAACACTCCCTCCTATGTTGTCACTCAGTCACATGCTTCCCTTGTGGAGGCTACATGTGGCCATGCAGATATGCATTGTGCAGGTAAGGTCCTTGGTTTACACCATCAGAAGGCGATCCAGAGCAATGATGTGCAGTCGACGATGGAGTGAGTTCATGTAGACAGGAAATGACAACACTCCCTCCTATGTTGTCACTCAGTCACATGCTTCCCTTGTGGAGGCTACATGTGGCCATGCAGATATGCATTGTGCAGGTAAGGTCCTTGGTTTACACCATCAGAAGGCGATCCAGAGCAATGATGTGCAGTCGACGATGGAGTGAGTTCATGTAGACAGGAAATGACAACACTCCCTCCTATGTTGTCACTCAGTCACATGCTTCCCTTGTGGAGGCTACAAGTGGCCATGTGGATATGCATTGTGCAGGTAAGGTCCTTGGTTTACACCTTCAGAAGGCCGATCCAGAGCAATGATGTGCAGTCGACGATGGAGTGAGTTCATGTAGACAGGAAGTTTTCCTCTCAGAGAATGCAGTTTTTTTTTTACTACCTGAAGGAATATTTCATCCTTTTTTTTTACCTTTCAGAGGGTTCTTTTAAATGTATTCTGTTGTCTTCCTCTCTCCTCGCAGGTTCTCCAGCACATGGAGGATATTAAAGTTCGGGAAATGCAGATCTTTGACTATAAGAAGAAGATCGCAGAAGCAGAAACTAAGCTGAAGCAACAGCAGAACTTGTATGAGGCTGTGAGATCAGACCGCAACCTGTACAGCAAAAACCTCATAGAAGCTCAGGTAGGAATCAACCTTGTGCAAGTTTTCCAACATAGTCTATAAATATCCTGATTTAGATACCGCCGCTTCTGTAAGGGGTCAATCTACTCTGAACCGATATACCGGTTATTGGGAGATGCTATAGAGCTGAACCTTCTGACAGCCTCTTCTACCCCTCAGAAACTCTGTTGGTGAGAACTTTGATTTCCCAGCTGCACACCTGATGTGACCATTATGAGGGGCTCCCACCATCCCTGTGCTTAGTTATTGGGTCTATACACCTGCTGTTCCCATTAGGAGTGGTTCCCTCTATCCCTGCACCGAGTTGCTGTGTCTGTACATGCGCTGTGCCCATTATGATGAGCTTCCACCACTCCTGCACTTAATTGCTGTTTCTGTACTCCAGCTGTGTCTATTATCAGGGGCTCCCACCATCCCTGCACTGAGTTCCAGGTCTGTGCATCTGCTGGGCCCATTATTAGGAGCTACCACCATCCCTGAGCTTAGTTTCCTTGGGCTGTACATCAGCTGTCCCCATGATGCGGGACCCCCACCATCTCTGCACTGAATTCCAGGTCTGCACACCTGCTGTGCCCATTATGAGGGGTCCCCACCATTCAGAAGCAGCCAGAACACAGAAAGGTGGGTCAGAAAAGCCGAACCTCTCAGATGTGACAAGAAGAGAGCTGGGAATTGTGGCAAGGATATCTCAGAGGATCAAATAACCTAGGGGCTGACTTAACCCACTAAGCTCCAGCTATACCATAAAATATCACTTTTGGGTGGGCTTGCCCTTTTAACATTGGATTTTAAAATGATTATTTTTCATTTAATATATATTTATTGAGTTTTATATACAAATATTCATTAAACACTTAAAACAGTATCAATCACACATAAGGTAATATCACAAAACAAGGTCAACAAAAAACAAGAAAACATGGAACCATCATACTAGTAAGACATTCATTATGGATATAGAAGGTCTTACTAAAATGATTACTTTTAATAGGTTGTTGCACCTTTTTACTTATTTCTTACATTTGCTCCGTCTTTATTCGGTGGTAACTCTTTGACCTGCTCTGTCCTTAGGATGAGATTACGGAGACGAAGAGAAAATTGAAAATCATGAACCATCAGGTTGACCAGCTAAAGGAAGAGATTTGCTCCAAAGAGTCGGCGCTCGTGAAGTCTCACGTCGACCACCAGCGGGTAGAGAAAGAAAAAGAAGCTCTGAAGGTCTGTCCTCTGTGAATTCATCTGAGTGATGGTTGCTTGGGACGGTTGAATTGTTTTAAATCTGAACTCCGGGCACAGCATTTTACATTTAATTATATTCATCAATAGCCACAAAGAATATAAATCCTCTTTGTGTGCACCGATTATCTTTGCACACCGAGGTATTACCCAGTTGTAAAGGTAGCAGTGACATCACATTTCTACTGTACATAGCCTATACAGGGAGCAAAGCTGTGGGATGGACCCAGCAGACCCTGGGGACCTGGGGAATCACCAATACGTGTTAGTGACCAGGCCTTGTTCACACCAAATGCAGAGCAGATCTGCATGACTTTCTGCACACGCAAATGCAGTGGGTTGTGCCGCGTTTTATGCCGCGTTTTTGATACGTTCCGGGCCATTTTTGGTTAAAAAAAATATTTTTTGTTTGTTTAAAATGGGCTTTCAGTGCGTTCCAGGGTGTTTGCATGCGTTTTTGATGCGTTTGCATGTGTTCCAGAGCGTTTCAAAGCAGGTAAAATAGGGCTTGCTGCAGTTTTTTTACCTGCTCTGGAACGGAACGCTGCGATGTGAACTGGAGCTAAAAATACCATAGGAATACATAGGACGCAGTTTTGCTCCGGTCTGTAACTGCTCTGCTCCTGGAACGCGCTTGGTGTGAACAAGGCCTAAAGGTGACTGCTTTTAGATTGTAGCGTGCAAGACTGGTGGCACTGCTATCACTGATGGTACGGTATCACCTTTGGTATAAGGTAGCTTTGGAAGCTAGGTTCAGGTAGCAGGTTGCTGTTAGCAAGGTTACACTGGTAACAAGGTTGCACTGGTAGCAAGGTGACACTGGTAGCAAGGTTCCACTTGTAGCAAGGTTGCACTGGTAGCAAGGTGACACTGGTAGCAAGGTTCCACTTGTAGCAAGGTTGCACTTGTAGCAAGGTTGCACTGGTAGCAAGGTTCTACTTGTAGCAAGGTTGCACTGGTAACAAGGTTACACTGGTAGCAAGGTTACACTGGTAACAAGGTTGCACTGGTAGCAAGGTGCACTGGTAGCAAGGTTCCACTGGTAGCAAGGTTCCACTGGTAGCAAGGTTCCACTGGTAGCAAGGTTCCACTGGTAGCAAGGTTCCACTGGTAGCAAGGTTCCACTGGTAGCAAGGTTCCACTGGTAGCAAGGTTCCACTGGTAGCAAGGTTCCACTGGTAGCAAGGTTCCACTGGTAGCAAGGTTCCACTGGTAGCAAGGTTCCACTGGTAGCAAGGTTGCACTGGTAACAAGGTATACTGGTACTGTAGCAAGGTTCACTGCTAGTGATTCCTTCCCTGTGATGTCGCGGCCCTAACACTTTGTGTAAAATCCACAAGTGACCAAGGGAGAGGAGGTTGCACTGGTAGCAAGGTTCCACTGGTAACAAGGTGCACTGGTAACAAGGTTGCACTGGTAACAAGGTTGCACTGGGAGCAAGGTTGCACTGGTAGCAAGGTTGCACTGGTAGCAAGGTGACACTGGTAGCAAGGTTCCACTGGTAGCAAGGTTCCACTGGTAACAAGGTGCACTGGTAACAAGGTTGCAATGGTAACAAGGTTGCACTGGTAACAAGGTTGCACTGGTAGCAAGGTTGCACTGGTAACAAGGTTGCACTGGTAGCAAGGTTGCACTGGTAACAAGGTTGCACTGGTAACAAGGTTGCACTGGTAGCAAGGTTGCACTGGTAGCAAGGTTGCACTGGTAGCAAGGTTGCACTGGTAGCAAGGTTGCACTGGTAGCAAGGTTGCACTGGTAGCAAGGTTGCACTGGTAGCAAGGTTGCACTGGTAGCAAGGTTGCACTGGTAGCAAGGTTGCACTGGTAGCAAGGTTGCACTGGTAACAAGGTTGCACTGGTAGCAAGGTTGCACTGGTAACAAGGTTGCAGTGGTAACAAGGTGCACTGGTAACAAGGTATACTGGTAACAAGGTTGCACTGCTAAAAGGTTGCACTGGTAACAAGGTGCACTGGTAACAAGGTATACTGGTAACAAGGTTGCACTGCTAAAAGGTTGCACTGGTAACAAGGTATACTGGTACTGTAGCAAGGTTCACTGCTAGTGATTCCTTCCCTGTGATGTCGCGGCCCTAACACTCCGGGTAAAATCCACAGGTGACCAAGGGAGAGGAGAAGGAGGCCTGGCTCTGATGAGTGGTAGGTAAGTAACCACAACAGAGGGAAAGGTGTCTTGGGAGATGTCATTCTGGGGGCACGTCTGTCAGTCGGAACTGAGCTCTTAGTAGCTACCCCTGCAATCATTAAGCTGGGTGATGATGTCACAGGGAGTGATAAAAGGTGTTTCTCACTACAGGAACAAGGTAAAAGAAAAGAAAAATGCTGGCACATGATCTAGCGGGGAAAAAGGGGTTCGGTATTAAATCTGACTAACGCCTAGATATACTCTTTTTATCCTCTTCAATAAGACTTTAAACTTGAATTGGACCTCTGCATATGAGACAGACGCTGGTCGTGAATCAGCCCCATTCTGCGTTAAATATTGAACCCAGCAAATCAGATCGTTCACTCCTCTGAATTTTCCTCTCTGTTCTCCTCTGTCCAAAGCCTTGCCCTGTCTCCGGCCCCTGTCTGCTGCTTCTTGTAAAAAATGCATGATCTGGTTGACAGATTGCTGATCGATCGGTGAACGAGAGGAACAATTGATGAGTTTAAGCTCATCTCCTCGTCATCCTTCACACTTGTCACAGTCGGTGAAAATCTACAGCCTTCCTCTCCCAGCGTACATCTCGCTGCCGGCACACGCATCTCATTTACTCGGGCAGCTGAAGATTCAGCAGTTATTGGTCTGACACCGGCGCCTTTGCAGCTCAATTATTTAACAGGGAAGGTGTCCGTAAATGAGGCGCGCATTAGTCAGAGCCCTGGGCAGGCCAGTCTGTCACCCAGGTTATTACTGCTTTCCACTGCAGAGAGCACAGCACTGCCTGTAACAAGGTACTGTCTTCATAATGCAGGGACCACGCAGCTGAATTCACCAGCTAACCGAAGATAATGTTCTTATTGCTTGGATATCACTTCTCGATACTGAAGGGGATTTACGGTCTTTTAAACCCAGGAGGTGATCATTGATGCCTAAATGTCGGGCCACATTTTGTGGCCTCAGCCTGTGCCAGTTAACTCACCATACCTAATTTTTATATATTTTTTAAGGAAAATAATAAAAACACAATGCTGAAAATTTGTTTAAAAATTGTATTTGTTAGGTTTTTTTCCAATACTATAATTATACCTCACAATTACATTATTAAACAGATGAACATTGCCACCTTAAGGCTGCAGTGGCATCTGCAGGCTGAGCGATTTTTCTTTTCTTTTTTTGTCAGTGAAGTCTCCAGCATACATGTGATCACTTTGTCATACCTTACATAGGGATCACATGACTGATAATGATAACCATTTCTGATGTTCTTGATCATGAATGGGGCCTGAGCTGTTAGTTACAGCCAAAGAGACAACATTTATTAGTGTATCCTCAGCAGAAGACATGGCACAACAAGGTGCGAGAAAGCTGAACTCTGGGCACAAAAACCTTTCACTGATATACACTGATCAGCCATAACATTATGACCACCCACCTAATATTGAATAGGCCCCCCTTTTCCTGATCCATCTAGGCATGGACTCCTCTATACCTCTGAAGGTATGCTGTGGTATCTGGATGACCACCGACCTAATATTGAGTGGGTCCCCCTTCTTCTGACTCGTCCAGTCATGGACTCCACTAGACCTCTGAAGCACAAACTTATTTCAAAACCTAAACACAGACCAGATGTGGGATTGTTTTAAAAACACAGTACATACTGCTACTTCAAAGTGTATACCTTTAGGGAGCAAAAATAAAAGATCAAAGACTAAACCAATATGGTTTAATAAAACTGTAAAACAACACGTCAAGGACAAGAGAGCGACATTTATAAAATATAAGACGGAAGGGACGGCATTGGCGTTCCTTAACTACAAAGAATGTAACAAAAAATGCAAACTAGAAATCCGGGCAGCTAAAACTGAGTGCGAAAAGCATATCGGCCTTCATGGATTGGACTTGTTTTTCCAGGACATCCCACAAATACTCAATTGGACTAAGATCTGGAGAATTTGGAGGTCAAGTCAACACCACAAACTCGTGGTTGTGTTCCTCAAACCATTCTTGAACCATTTTTGCTGTGTGGCAGGGCGCATTATCCTGCTGAAAGAGTCCACTGCTACCAGGGAATAACGTTTCCATGAAGGGGTGTACTTGATCAGTAAAAATGTTTAGGTCGGTGGTACGTATCAAAGTAACATTCACATGAATGGCAGAACCCAAGGTTTCCCCAGCAGAACATTGCCCAAAGCATCACACTGCCTCCGCCGGCTTGTCTTCTTCCCATAGTGCATCCTGGTGCCATCTCTTCCCCAGGTAAGTGACACACGCGCACCCCGCCATCCACATGATTCATCAGACCAGGCCACCTTCTTCCATTGCTCTGTGGTCCAGTTCTGATTCTCACATGCCCATTGTAAGTGCTTCTGGCACTGGCGGGAGGGAGTGAGTAGGGAGCAAGGTAGCCAGCGTGGCAGGCAACTGGGAAACATGGGAAGATAGGACGATATAGACAGGAAACAGAGAAGGAGTAAAAGGGATCTATGGGAGATGGATGGAGGGAGGAAGAAGGGCAAAAAAGGGGGGGGCGGGGGGGTTAAGAGGGA